AATAAATATAAATACAAAGAAAAGATAAAAATCTATATTTCAAATATATACTTAATATGCTTGCATGCGTACATTCAGGTGTATATAAATAAATAATATAAACCCTAAACCCTAAACCCTAAACCCTAGAATGATAGAAAATAATTAGTACATACAAAGAAGGATAGCAGCAGACAACAATAACAAACAGAAAAGCAGACAAACAAACAAACAAATAAACAAATAAATAAATAGACAAATAAGTAAACAAATAAACAAATGTATAAACAAAGAAACAAATACATAAATGAATCAAATAAGCAAGCAAGCAAGCAAGCAAAAAATATAAAAATAAATAAATAAACAAATAAACACATGCAAAAGAAAGAGATTATTTTTTGTTTATTTGTTTTTACTCGCATAAAAACAAAACAAATAAATTTAGATAATTTTTTTATTGTTTTTGTTTGCTGTCTTTAACTCTCCTTATACGACAGCTACAAATACTGCAGATAATCTGTTTAAAAAAATACCCTAGATGTTGCTGCTGCTGCAGCTGCTGCTGTAGCTGCTGCTGCTGCAACTGCTGCTGCTGCTGCTGCTGCTGTTGTTTATAATTGCTATTGCTGCTGCCTTTGTTTTTTTTTGTTTTTCTTCTTTCAAACATCTGCATGCACGCTGCGGTGTACCGACGTTCTTCAATCTGGATTTGCTGCAGCTGCCTTCTGCATAGCAGCAGCAACTGCTGCTGCTCTTTCTGCTGCTGCTCTTGCTGATGCTGATGCTGCTGCTGCTGCAGCTTGTCCTGGTGGTGCTGCTGCTCTTTTTGCTGCTGCTGCTGCTCATACGGGTTCTCTTCCGGTTGCTCTTGCTGCTGCTGCTGCTCTTGCTGCTGCTGCTGCTGCTGCTTCTGCTTCTGCTGCTGCTCTTGCTGCTTCTGCTGCTGCTCTTTCTGCTGCTTCTGCTTCTGCTGCTGCTCTTCCTGCTGCTGCTGCTGCTCTTGCTGCTGCTTCTGCTTCTGCTGCTGCTCTTG